GCATCTTACTTTCTCCAGCCCTTTGCATGGTGCGTCTGGATATCACTGGAGCATGAATTTGGTAGTGATAGAGTGGTGGCGGTGGCAGTGTGATGCTACAGAGTTCTTCTTGTCTGCTGTGGGGAGGCACTTAAATTGCATGATTCAGTAGCAGGTAATTTGTTTTGGAATGTCAAGGCCCAATAAATATAACTGTATAGGACTGGAAAACAATATGCACCCAATACAAATTAACCATAAACCTTTCAGAGTTACCATTTTAAAAGTCAAAATGATTTACTTGGAAAAAAGGTTAAAATATCCTGGTTCCCAACAATTTATTTGTCAATGCAGTTTGGCATCTTAAACATACCATTTTTTGCAAATATTTGTAATATGTGCTTTGAGGTATGAACAATAATCTGTTCACTACCATGATACTGTATTGCTAAACATTGAGCAATAAAGTTACAAAATATCTGCATATGTAAATACATGCAACGAAAGAATTTTGAGCTCCAGGCATGGGTGCTACTGACATCTCTGCCACTGACGTTCTATAGGACCTTGGGAAAGTTTTTAGATGTCAGGAGGAAACTTGTACAGTAGTTACCTGTTCTATTATGGTCTAGACACAACTATCCTATGATAATTTTAAACTTGTCTTGCGTTATAGTTACCCTTTGCAAAATGACTAAAAATTGTAGATTCATATTCTGCAGAATTATGTATTTGCTTAACTTTATGAACTGTGAGCAGACCTATTAATTTCCCTGGGACTGCTTCTGGTGCATAAATTAAACGTGCATTTTTTTCTTTTGGTGGGATGAAGGCTACTGCCACCACTATGTGCGTCTTTCAAAGACTTCCACAAAATATGCTTCTCTAATTGCTAGGACAGCAAATAGGAAATCAAGTTGCTTTCTTTTGGCTTGTGCATCACTAGTAGTAAGTAAATTTTGATAGAAAAATTTAACAATTTTGTTAATGATTCACAAGCCATAACAGAATCCATCTCACAAACTTGTACCAATGTTGACTTGCAAAGCCAGAAGTTAGAAAGAGTAATAACATACCTGATTTAACTGACTGCCACCATTCTGATCAGTTGGTGCCATATTAGAAGTGATCATTTTATCACTGGGTTCCAAAAGTTGACCCAGAACCCAAAATAAATACCAGTGTCAGGCCATGACACCTAATTTTAGAATAGAATCTTTCCAAACAAGTTAAATCCTCTTTACTTCACAGGATTTATTTGTGTATTTTGAAGGACACGAACCTAATTAGCACTGGAATCTTTTAGTACCTACTCAAAATCAAAAAGTCTATAAAGAGTAGTAATGCTAAATTCTACAATCTTGTTTTCTCTCCCAGGAGTTTCAAATGGCAAAGTAACTTATCTGTCACATATATTTAAACAATGAAAAATTCAGTGGCATATTGTGCATTTCATTATTAGCCCTCTAGTACTGTCCTGGAGTCTCCAGGAATTAATCTTTAATTAAAAATTTTTTGTGTCATGTGAGTAAACTTCCAGGAGTCTGTCCAACCAAAATTGGCAACCCTAATTGAATACATGGCTTCATATAAAACTGTCAACATATAATACTGGATTGAGATAACTTGTTTGCCTGTAGTTGGGATGCCATGAATACTGTCAGCATTAACTATCGGTTGTGGTAGTAGTAAAGTCTCTTGCCCCATAGATCTGAAGTGCTTGCTTCCATTTCTGTGCTTGTATTTCTTCCAGCTTTCCCTAGCAGAATGACTCTTCAAAATAAATGATACAACAATAAAATAAGCTACTCAAGGTAGACAATGGAAAATTACAAGAGAGCCTACAGCAAGACAAGCCATCTAAGAAATCTGGTACACCGAGTAGTCTGCTCAATTTCTGTACCATTATAATTTTAAATGCAATGTCAATTATGTCTTTCATAAAATCTTTTAAAAAAACTCATCCAGTAATATTTGCATTGGAATTTAACTGTGCAGTAAGTTAGTGACACACACTGCAAACAACACCATTTTTAATGGAAGTTCAGACAAACAGAAAAGCTCAAATTTTGGAATGTTTTCAATAACTCATTGCACTGTATACTTGATTTAAAATAAAGACTACAATAAATTACATTAAGATCTAAAAATAAATCAACATTTTAGATCGAAATTAACTTTAACTAAAACCAGTGTAGCTTATCATGGCTATTAAATATGTACAAGCTACAAAATTCAGGGGAGTAGCACTAAAATATACGTTGTATGAACTACTCACCTCTTAATCAAAGGTCTACTCTTGCATTCTTTGCATTATGTGCAGTTGTTAAAAATCTTTTTAATGGCCTACATGGTATAAGGTAAATTTTATATTAGGGTTTGTTTTCTGTGCTAGACCAATATTGCTTGCTTTGAAATTAACTGAGTGAGGACATTGTTATTAACTGTTGGCATGGACCTCAGAAAGATGGAAGTTAACTGAGTTCACTAGACTGACTCCAAGTGAGGTAACTGCTTAAGACCCTAGTAATAGGCAATGGGAATGAAAAGGCAGCTTTGATGTTTTGACCAATGTCAGGAAAACAAGTTGCCTAGGCATTGCTGCACTGGTATTTCTTTATCGCAACAGTCAATATTACCTTTTGATCACTTATTTGATATAATAACCTACCTTGATAGTGTCCATTTCTCAAAATCTGTCTTCTCAAAGCGTTATGCTTTCTTCCAAATCCAACATGATTCATTTTCTTTAAATCAGCAACACATATGGTTCTATGCATTTTTGCAAATATTGAAAGAGTCAGGATACAAAATATCTGCATTAAATAAATGAGCTATCAATACAGCTCAAACCCAAATATTTTCTGATTAATAATGCCATCAGCCCATCTGCTTATCATATGCCTATAGCCAGTCATTTATCAAAGCTCAAGAAAAATTATTTTTGAAGGACTCTTGTAAGGTCTTGGTTCTGTGTGAATGTGGTGGATATGGAAGACACATAAGAATATTTTATAGAGCTTCTACTTTCCCTAATTGTTAAACCAAAGGATTTTAGGTTGGGTATCAACCCCATAATCTTCATTTTGGAGATACTGCATGGGCAGGTATTGTCTCAGGTAGGCAGGTCTCAAAGTATTTAGAGCTTTATAGGTTAAAACATTTAAGACATCAGTCTGAAAACAAATCAAAAGCCAGTGAAGAATGTGGATTTTAGTTGTGATATGCTCTCTACTGCAAGAGCTACATCTTATGGGGGCAAAGAGATTCTACACTATTTAACATTTCTCAACTGTCTTCTGTATATGTGTTTATTAAAATACCCTTCTCTCAAGAGAAGATACATAGATAATTACAGTGGCGCCCAAATCCAAAAAGAAAATACAAGTTGCAGAGAAGAATTCTGTATAAGTAACAACTTTATTGTAACTTGATGTGCTGAAATGCAAAAATATTTTCAGCAACAAGATACAAAAAGTATTTCACCATTAACATCAGCTGATAAAAATGCTGGATGGTTTGATGCAAGTGTTTACATATCTGAATTCTCTTAATCATTTCCACCTCAAAACAGGTCTAAATAATTTCATTAGTTTCATTTCTAATATAGGATTCATTTATGTTAACCCTCCTCTCTGAAGTCTCAAAAGCCAGAATTAGCTAGGTTACAGAGAGTAATTAAATCTACCAATGCAAATACTTTCAAAAATGCATTCCCTTTCCAAACTAAATCCATTTACTGCAAACAAAAGCCAAGCTGAGAGACTAAACTATATTAGAAACTACATAACAATCATGAGATCAATGCCAGTTTAGAAAAAAGTCAAGTCAATTTTAGTGTCAATTCAAAATTAAAAGTATTGGGTAAAGTGTAGATTTTAACATTAATACCGATAGCTATTAGTTGTATCTCAGTTTGCACTCTGGTATCTTCGATAACAGTCTTCGTCTATGAGAGTGAATTATTCTATGAGGGTAGGTAGTACATAGGCCTTATGCAGTCCCTAAACACAGCAATGAGTTTCATTCTAAATATTTAATGCACTGTGAGAATCAAATACTTGAAGAGTAAGAACAAAATCTGTATTCAGTAAAACTGAATTTAAGAACCAAGTAAAAAATGGATTCAAATCAACATTCCATACCTTGTATCTATGTCAATTTAGTTATTTTGTACCAAACAACATTCCCCTTAAGATTTTGTAAAATACTTTTTTAAAGATTTAATATCTTACTAATCTTGTATTCATTGCAAAGATATACTAGAAAAGGCACTCTGTGTTCATACTTCAGAATGCAGTAAATGAACTTAAAGACAAGGATTTTTTAAGCTTCATCCATTCTAAATATCTCCCCAGAAAAGGTTCAAATGGAAAAATGATGCAATCACTTCTACCATCATTCCAAGAGTGAATTGAGTACTTATTTTAAGAAATTTGTTAAAAAAAGACTACCATGCAGAAATCATACACACACACACAACACATGCAGGGTTCTCCACAGAAAAATAAGAAAATGGTGGCTCATTTCCGAGAATAGTGTAAGAAAGTCAAAACAAGACAGTCACACTTTGTGCTTCAAATCCTTTAAAGAGACTAAATACATGTTCAGGATTTCTCTATGATGGCCTGAAAAACTATACTTTTGTATTATAGAGTTTTACATCTGCTGAAACTGAAACTGATCATTCTTGAGATGTGGGGAATAAAAATGGAGAATCTAAAGAAGGAAGTTGTTCTTATGGACTATTTTCTTGGGTCCAGTGAGAACACTGCAGGCGGTTCAACCAAGAATGAGAAGGTAAATAATCAGGGCACACTTGAGAATACAGCAATTATTTTACCTTTTTTCTTAAGAGCGACAAAACTTAAATGTATACATAATAAATAAAACAAAATATAAGCAGATCAATGACATGATTTTCCATTTCTGTAATGTATAGTGTGCACTGCCTAACCAGAAAAATGGACATTTCTACCAATGTAGATATTCCTACAGCACAGTGTTTGACTTTTTTGGTACAAAGTGTGCTATTAAGCTTTTTTTTTTTTTTTTTTTAAATCATCAGAACAAAATCCTTAAGCTTCACATTAGATTACTGTATTTTGTAATTTAGAACAGGCTGAACTGGACAATCATAATTATGGTATTAAATATTCAAGTCACTTTGTATATTAGAGCTGCAAGTTTCAACAGTGAGCTTGTTCATGATGAGTTTGAATATATTCATTCTAATTTGTTACACACTGCAGCAAAAACGTCACTATTTTGGAGGGAGCAGGTATCCTACTAAACCCTAACATGAAGAATGCTTAAATGCCAAAATCTTAATTTAGATAAATATTTAAAGAACAATGTGATAAAGGTTAAATTACTTCATAGAGTCTAGTGGTGTGTGGCCTGTAGCATTTAGACACTTGTCTAAGAATGCTTCTTATTTTATATTTAAGCCACAAAGATTTAGTTCAAATACAGTGTATACAAGCATTCAGAGGTTTATTTTTTAAAAACTGGACTGGGCACTTATTTGCTAAAGGTTTACTTGGTAACAAAATATAAAAGCATATATACTTTACCCTCCTAAAACTTCACTGGGATTAATTCTGAGAAATCGTAAATAAATTAGGGAGGAGATTTACCTTTTCAGAAGGTAAATCTTAAAATTTCATTTTTCATGTAAGTTTAAAGGCAAACTGAAGTGTTTTATCTTAATAGTATGTTTATAAATTCAATGAGATTTCTTCCCATATCCCACTGTTAAATGAAAATCTTGACAAACAACAAATATAGCATATTATCACCCTTATAGCAAATTCAATGTTATAACTCAGAAAACATTTAGAATGTGCATTACCTGCAGCCTCTCCCTCTCCCACATTGTAAACAAAGCTATCAAACACTGAAAACGTTGATATTAAAGCTAAGGTTCATATAATAAAGAACTGGCCCATGATAAGCAGTTTACAAATGTTTCATCCTTTCACATTATGCAGAATTTCAATACCATCCACAATACTAGTACAATAACTGAAATGCTAGAAAAAGCAAGCTTGTACTTGCAAATACTATCTGACATTTCAGGGATCTATTCCTCCTCCTCGATGTTACTACCACTAATGTGAATGGAAATTGTGCACACATGTTAAGTGGAGAACAGATCCTCTTCCAAAGTTTTGTTTGTCATTCACATGCCTTTCTCAAAAATGTGAAAATACTCAACAATATAGAACGAGAGCTTACAATATTCAGGTTCAATTAAGTCTTCAAAGACATGCTTTTCTTGTTCATAATAACAAAACTAAATCCCATGTGGCTGTGGGCATCTTAAAATGTATTTAAAAAGTTACGCCACAATTACCTGTACCTCATTAATTCATCAAAAGCAAAATATATATGTACCACACAACATACAAAAGTTACGCATTAAAAGTGCATATTCAGAATCCATTTGGCCCATTTCTTAAATTTACATTTGGTCATTCTATGCATCCTTTACTTTTCTATGTACCATAACACGTGAGATATAAATAATTTTTCTTCAAATACAATACCATTCTCTCTTCACAGCAAAACCTTTACCTCTTACCTTATTTTCCATTAAATGTAAACTAGTGATGGACCATAAAGAAACACAGGCAAAAGATTTATTATGTGTTTCTTTTTTTAACGTTTGTTGGACAGCTTTGACATACACACAATAGGCATTACAAACTATATTGAAAATACATTTTTGGGCCAAACCATTGCATATTTGCCCCCACAATGAAAAATAAATTACGTTCAAAGCAGTATATTGCCATTAACAGCCTGTTGGCATCCTCTGAAAGTAAACTGGTTCTTCCTATGCTTTGTACTTGAACTAAGGGCTCATTATGTGCCCTTAGCTCAAGTGCTTTTAAATGAGAGTCTAGTTGAAACCTTCCAGTTAGCACAGAACCAAACTATAATCTTCATTCTTTAAAAAAAAATAAAAAAATGGAAGATCCCTTTCAAAAGTTAATCTTCAGTTATGAACTTTACTGCATTATGGAGCTAGTGCAATCCTGCATAGCCTAGTCAAAAAGACAAGGCACAATAAAAAAAAAATCAAGATACATTAGACTACATGGACTAGAGTCATTGAAGATAATTTAAGGCCTTTCAGTGAACTAGAGAGTAATCAGTCTAATTTAAAGCTGAGGATTAAACCATAAATTATCCAACTGAAAAGCAAACAATAGGCTTTTTCAGCTTCTGTTCTGTGGACAAGGATAACAAAAATTCTTGTATGGTTTGTGAAAACACCTCTGGACAAGGAAGAGTAGAGTCATTTCAGTTTCTCTAAAGTTCGTGGAAGATTTCATGACTGCTTTAGCCGTTTGCGTGGAATGCCAAACTGTGGACACTGTGCAGACGCTAATGCTCGAAAGGCCTCTGCTACCAAGTGAGGATGAGAGTGGATCATTGACTTCCAGCCTGCTGTTTCCATTATGTCTGTTGCTTGGCTGAAAAGAAAAGGTTTAAGAATTATCAGTTAAAATGTATTGTGTCCACATAATGCTGAATCTGGAAAATATTTAGAATGATTTGACATGTGAAATATTATAATTGACTACAGCTGTATGTTATTTGTAACCTACAATGTATTCACTTACAGTTTAGTGAAATTACAGGTCAATGAGAAGAAATACATTTAACATTGTTCTAGAACTGGAATTTTCCCCAGAATGAAGTTATCTACATCATGCCTTCAGCTAAGACTATACACTAATTGAGTAGGAGTCTTTAAAAAGAGTATCAATGTATTTTATATGCCAGTTATAATTCTTCACTGCTGAACTCACTGACACTATGGCAGCACATAGAATATCCTGGGACACGTAGATATAAAAACTTTTTGTTGAAGGTCAGTAAAGGAAAGGTACCCTTAGAAACTGTTCATCAGTTCTAGCTCAGCTCCTCTGCACATTTGGAAGAATGCAAAAATTGACAGGCCATGCCAACTCAACCACCTCCTCAAGACCCACTTCATTTACAACATTTACAGGAAAGTGAGGTAGTAAGCAGCATAGGATAGTTGATTATGTCTTTCTTTCTAAAGTTCCCTTTCTGAATGATTTGGAACAGTCAAAACTGTGTACCAGCTAACCTATGCAACTCTGTGAACTTATCTCTCTAAGGCAGGGGTCTCCAAACTACGGCCCGCGGGCCAGATGCGGCCCGCGAGGCCCTCTCATCCGGCCCGTGGAGACTGTGACGGGGAAGAACTCCCCGCACTAATAGCCCCTCCCCTGGAGAAGCGCCGAGCGGCGCAGCGCTGCGGAGCTGGGGCGGGGAAGAAACTCCCCACACTGACAGCCCCTCCCCCGGAGAAGCGCCGAGCAGCGCGGCGGAGCGGAGCCCAGGGGAAAGCCCACGGGGAGGGGAGCGAGGGCGCACAGCCGCAGGCGCGGCAGGCGAGGAAGGCGGCAGGACCCAGGAGGAGAAGGGGCAGGGACGCCAGGGTGAGCGGCACGCCCCGTGCGTGCCGGCTCAAAAGGGGGAGGGGCCGGAAGGACAGGGGCGGCCGGCACTCACCGTTGGGCACTGCTTTCCAACTTCCTTTACCAAGTGATAACGTGTCTGCTTTCAAACCAGCTTTTCCCATTAAAATGCATGCCCCTTGTTCCATGGGGCTATGTTACAAATTGTCACCTCATTCCCTGCATGATAGGAGAGCGATCACATCTCTTCAAGTGTGAGTGTCTTAGGCTGAACATATTGCCAGGATTATGTTGCTTACAATTTTCATCACATTGCGCAGGTGGAAATGAGTTCTCAGCAGTTTCCCCGTTCTGGAGCCCCTCCTGCAGGACTAGGACAAGCACCACCCCCAATTTCAAACAGTGATTTCTAAAGCCAGAAATGTCTGCTATTTTGGCATCCAGGAAACAATTTCACCATTCACACTAATACAGGTGTTCATGTGTAGTGTATCAATGTGTTATTAAATAATAACTGAATAAAATAATATTAAATAAATAATTAAAAACAACATCCATGTTTTGATTGTTTTTTATTTGGACCTCAAGTGTGTAGTCGGCCCCCGAACTGCTGTTTGATAGTTAATGCGGCCCTCGGGCAGAAAAGTTTGGAGACCCCTGCTCTAAGGGCATGACTACACTATAGTGTTATTTCGAAATAACAGGCTTCTTATTCTGGAATAAATAATCCCTTAAAAGGAATAATGGCTATTTCGACATTGCTATTTCAAAATAGCTCCTTCCCAAGGCCATTCAAAGTAATTACTCCCCAGTGCTTCCTGGGGCTCTAAATTGAGGTACTGTGTTCACATTAGGAGAACCTGTTTCTCTGTAGTGTGGATGTGCTATTTCGAAATTGTTATTTTGGGCATTGTTATTCTGAAATAACTTATTTCAAAATACCCTTGTAGTGTAGACATACCTTAGGTTCTTATACCGTGCCCAACATTGGGAATACATTCGCCCCCTTATTTCTCCCTCTCCTTTCTGCTTATTTCACTTATTTGTTGTCTCTTCTTTCACATCAGACTGAGCTCTTTGTGTCTGCCTATATATTTGCAGAGTGCCTAACACAATCGATTCTGTATCCTGGGTGAAGCCTTTGTGCACTGTCATAACACAAAATAGCAGCCCTAGTCTCCCTACCTAAGCTTTATTCTGCCCTAGCTTCTCTCAACTTCATCTGCTCTGGAATAGGGCCTCTTACTTTTCTGCAGCCTCCATGGGCAAAAAAAGAAACTTGATACGTCTCTATTTAAAAAGTGGACAGGTCGCATGCTGCCATTTCACTACTCCTCACAGCATTTCGGGTTAAGGGGGCAGTAGGGGCAGATGGGAGCCCTAAACCAATGGCAACATGGGCCAGGAGGGGAGGGACCTCCCCTGGTCTGACAAATCCCCTTGTTCTGGACCCTCAGGTCCTGAGGGTGCTGGACCAGGGAGGTCCAACCTGTACTAGGTAACTTGGGAAGTTCTTCTGACAGGAAAAGGTAACTTTATATTTTGGGAATCATTTTACTTACTTGCTATTCCAGTTTTTCCCATCTTTACACCCAAGTTGTCTAAGAACACTGCACCTATGACAGGGAAAATTATACAAAATATTTAGAAGGAAGACATATTTAAGTACGGATATTTAAAGCATTATTTTAAGTGTAATAAAGGAACATTACTTGCCTGTTAATAAAATCTATTGCTTGTGCTTTCAACTGTTCTGCGCTGTGCAAATCTGCGAGGATAAGAATGTCAGCAACGTTTTCAACTGAGAGGTTACTACAGAGTGCCTCCTCACACATGACCTTCAGCCGTTCCAGTGCATACTAATGAAAGAAAAAAACTATACTAATCATTCTTCACACTTATTCTTTCTGCTGTAATCTGTAAGTACAATAGTTCAAAAGAACAATTTCCCCCAATCCTGTGAAATGCTTAGCACCATTCCTTAGGATTGACTAGTGTCCCTCACAGGAGAATTAATAAAATGGCTAAATTACAATTAATTTCAGATTTTAAATTCCCTCCCCTTTTACCAACATGAAGAAAAGCTAAAGAGAAGCCATAAATATTATTTAAATGGGAAGTGCAATATTAAATCAAATCACTGGCTCAATAATCCAGTAAGATATTTCTAGTCCCAGAAATTCAAATGGAAATAAAGAGAGATCTCATAGGAAAATTAAGTAAAATTCCACTCTAAGGGAAGGATCCTTCTAACTTCTCTCAGTGACTGACTTATTCCCTGGCCAGAACATTTAAACTTCTCCTAACTTCTTATCGTCAATGGTATACAGTGACAATGAATTTCAATGATATACATGAGTCCAAAGAACCCTCTCATCAGTTAAATTAGTTGTATTTCATTAAAAGTTCAATAATTATTCCACTAAGAAGGGATGAATAAGGAGTATCCAATTTTTCTCTCTCTCTCTCTTTCTGCAAATCCTCCACTCTCCTCTTTCAGGGAGAAATTGTCATTAGGTACTATGCAAACAAATGTATCAATCTGTCATTTCGTTTTTCCACTTATGAACTCTCATATCTGCCATATTTTTGAGATAGCTGGGTTCAGTTCTGGTCACCCTATCTAAGCAAAGGTATAATACTGACATGTAAAAAGAATTCTTTTGTGCATTCTCTTTCTGACTGTATGTGTCTTAACACTGTTTACAGTTTGACCACTGCTTCATGTTGAGCAGGTTCTCATTAAACAGTACATAAACACCACCCACATCTTTTTTCTGAGTGGCTACTTCATTTAGAATCCATCAATTGTACAATTCCAAAGTCTCTAACAAATTTAGAAATAATCTGAATAAAAATAGTCAAGGTGCCACATGTATGTTACTTATTAATATAAATAAAATCAAAATAAAATGTATCTGCGTAAAACAAAGGAAAGCTGCATTGCTCTATATCTTAGTCAAATTTCTCTTTTCAAAGTTATATTTATTTTAGATTTATGGTTGTACTGTTCTCTAAGGTGCTTCTCTTCAGAGCATATACATTAAAGCCAGTTACTCTAAAGACATTTGTAGCAGACTACACAAAAGTTGAATACAGCTGTCTTGTAACATTGCAGAACTACTTTTTATAATACTTTTCATTCATGAGAAAGGCAGAGCAAGAACCATTTCGCAGTTTCTAGTTATTACATTCACTTTATTTAGCAATCATGCCTTGGAGAAAAGTCTTTAATCATAAAGGAACACTACTTCTCTAGTTCTCTCCACTCTGGAGTGCCTTTATCATCTGTCTCAGACTCAATGAGATCTTGAAGATGAGGCACTGTGACAGAGAGGTATGAGAAGAGGACTAAATTACTGTGTCATCAAAGCCTGATAGTACCAATAGAGTAGTTCAGAGGGAATTTAAGAATGGAGTGTTTGACAAAGTTAGCCACTAAGGGGCAGTCAATGCTGTATGTATGTTAAAGAAGGTGGTAGGGTTGATCATGAGAGATACAAATGTTACTTCAGTAACAGGAATATTACTTCAAGATACAATTCCAGGTGAGTATAAAATAATAAACAAATTAGTACAGTTTTCGTACAAGAAAAATCTGTTTCTCTAATCTAGTAAGGGTCGGTGCAAATTCAATTACACAGTTTGGTGAAAAACCTCAAATGAATAAAATGTAGACAAAGTCTAAGGTAATGCATCTTGAAAGGAACAAAGTTAACACTTCATATATGGCTGGCTTTTAAATTAGCTGCACCCACTTTGAAGAAGGTAACTAAGACTTCACAATGGACAGCCAGATGAAATTTGGCTTCTTGTACAATAATAGTGGTATGTTAAATATGAAATGGTATGAGATCATCTTGAATACTGTGGTGTTATTTGTTTCCCATATGAAGAAGGGCAAAAGGAGTAATATTTCATAGGAAAAGTGAAAATATTTAAAGGGTGGGTTTAAAGGATAAATATTTAAAAGGCAAGAATTAAGTAAAAGGACAGATTACAACTATTTAGAGTAATGAAAAAACAAAAAGTTATAGAAGTATTGATAGTTTACAGGTAGTCACTAAAGTACTGTTATTTATCATGTCACAACAGAAAGATCAAGGAGACACTTTTATCAATACTGATTTTCTACCATATACTTCTAGCAGCCAGAGAAGGTTTTATTTATTTTTAACCTTCCCACCACTCAAAAATCTGTTTCTCTCTCCCTTTTCTTGTATCTGTTGGTCCACTGGTTTATTTTTCTTAGACATCAACTGTGGTAGTATTTAAGCTATTCAAATATACATTTTAGAAACAGTTGTTTCTGAAATAATAATTATGAGGACTTTAAAATTACTTACTTTGTCTGCAGCTGCCAACAAGTTGTCAGCCATTTTGTCAAGGTTTGGTGCTTTCCCTGTGTAAATGAATCTCATCATTTCTTTAAAAACCTCAGGGTCCACATCATTTATTTCTACACGATTCTGTTGAACAAACATAAAAAAGGAAAACCATAACATCTAAAAATTTTGTAGTACAAATTTAAGAACATCACCTACTTTGCTTGTTACAAGTTTTTATATCATGTCCTTCATATAGAAGCCTTAAAAATTTATATTGACACATCTAGATTCAATTATCGGCCTCTCATCAACCTCCTCTTTTGCCAGTGGCTTTACCAGTTAGACAGATGGACATCCCAGCTCTTCTTAGGAGTGGCTCGATTTGTACAGAATCTGCTGTACAAAAATTATCTTAAAGTACATACAGAGAATCCTAAATATGGCCTGTGGAATTTTTAAAAATACATCCTGGCCTGGATTTAAATCCATAAGCATTCCTTGGAATAGCAGAGTCTACAAACATTGGAGAGAACAAAAAGTTATTCAGCTGCAAAGAGGAAAACAAGACTTAATTTGCTCAGTTTAATATGGCCAACTTGTCCTGGAAGACCTGGCAAAAACTACATTTTTACCACACCTAAATCCCACAGTTTACGGCTCTTCCTTAAGAAAGCCTCGGTCCTGGTCTTTTCAAGTTAGAACCCGAATTTCATCAACATCCCTGAATACAGCTGTTGCAGAAGAATAAGGTGTGGAGACATAAGCTGTAAGAGGCACGGACAAAGACCTTAAAATGAATACAGAATTGGAAAGGTATTAATGCAGTAGTATTTAGGAGTATAGAGTCCTCACCTATGGGAGTCACTTATGAGAGGAAGCATCATTGTGCCCTGCAAGACTCCAAGGAGAGCCAAAAATTCAGTGAAAATGAGAGCTGCCCATTAAAAATCCTTTGGGATCTAACCAAGAGCAAAATGTGAATCCATGATAATGAAATTCCAGCTACTGCTACTGCACCATTCAAGCTCTTAACAGCACAATGTTAAAAATAGAGGTAATACAAACATAAGCATATATGTTTGAGCTGTGCATAACCCCACAACCAAAGACTCAGGTACAGCGAGGCTCAATGAGATGAAATTCTTTTGCAAGCAACCCTAATATTGCCATAGAACTTAACTCATATTCCATAACCTCATGAATATTGAATTAGTCTGTGATATTCAACCATGGATTTTTTCCCTAGATTCTGCAGGTGATCCAGCTCCATGAGCTTTTTTGCAGTTGCATTGCTATCTAGAAGGCTTGGCTCAAACTCTTGCTTCCTATGTCTGCTTGTAACCAACTACACCAGCTCAGCTCCACAAACTTGAGCTGTTGCAGTGTTCTCTAAACAGTCCAGCCAGCTAGCCAACATTTATGGTCAGAATAATAGAACCATAGAGCTGGAAGAGACCTCAGGAGGTCATCAAGTCCAGCCCCCTGCTCAAGGCAGCACCAATCCCAACTAAATCAACCCAGTCAGGGCTTTGTCAAGCAGAGACTTAAAAAACCTCTAGAGATGGAGACTCCACCACCTCCCTATGTAACCCATTCCAGTACTTCACCACCATTCTCTTGAAATAGTTTTTCCTAATGTCCAAACCCAAATCCCTCAGTCTCTTCTCATAGGTCATGATCTCCAGTCCCTTAATAATCTTGGTCGCCCTCTGCTGGACCCTCTCCAATGCGTCCACATCCTTTCTATAGTGGGGGACCCAGAACTGGACGTAATACTCAAGGTGTGGCCTCACCAGAACTGAATAAAGGGGAATAATCACTTCTCTAGATCTGCTGGCAATGTTCCTCCTAATGCACCCTAATATGCCATTAGCCTTCTTGACTACAAAGGCACACTGTTGACTCATATCCAGCTTCTCATCCACTGTAATCCCCAGGTCCTTTTCTGCAGAACAGTTACTTAGCCATTCGGTCCCCAACCTGTAACAATGCTTGGGATTCTTCTATCCCAAGTGCAGGACTCTACACTTGTCCTTGTTGAACCCCCATCAGTTTTCTTTTGGCCCAATCCTATAATCTGTCTAGGTCACTGTGGACCCTATCCCTGCCCTCCAATGTGTTTACCAGTGTCATCTGCAAACTTGTTGATGGTGCAATCCAGCCCCTCATCCAGGTCATTAATAAAAATGTTGAACAAAACTGGTTCTAGAACAGATCCTTGGGGTACTCCGCTAGAAACTGACCACCAACCTGACATTGAGCCATTGATCACTACTCATTGGGCCCGACAGTCCAGCCAGCTTTCTATCCATCTTACAGCCCATTTATCCAATCCATACGCCCTTAACTTGCTGGCAAGAATATTGTGGGAGACCGTATCAAAAACTTTGCTAAAGTCAAGGTATATCACATCCACTGACTTTCCCATATCCACAGAGCCAGTTAACTCATCATAGAAGCTAATCAGATTGGTCAGGCACAACTTGCTCTTCATGAATCCATCTTGACTATTCCTCATCACCTTCCCCTCTTCCAAGTGCCTCAAAATGGATTCCTGGAGGATCCCCTCCACAATTTTTCCGGGAACTGAGGCAAGGCTGACCGGTCTGTAGTTCCCTGGATTGTCCTTATTCCCTTTTTTAAAGATGAGCACTACATTTGCTTTTTTCCAATCATCTGGGATCTCTCCCAATCACCACGAGTTTTCAAAGATAATGGCAAAAAGCCTATGCTTGTTGACTGCAAGCTAGAGCCTATCTTGTTCTTTGTCTTCCTACTAGGAAAGGGATAGAGAGCATGCCCTGTAATCCAATTAATGCCCTCTTGTAGTGAAAACTGGAGAGCTGCAGACAGTTGTGGGAAATTCCAACAGAAACAAAAAACCTGAGTGCAGTAAAATGGTGAATTCCAGGTCATCTTGGAAAAATACCAAATTTTGGGTCATGAAATCCATCACTAACGGTGAGGAAGTGGTACATTCACACCTCTTAGAGGTGCTGTTTCAAGTTCCAGACAAACCCAGGAAGAAAAAAACCATCATTTTATGCTTTGTCCATATTTCCAAACGTATTTTCACACACAAAGGCTACAATGAAAACTGAAATTCTAGAACATAATTCTACTCCAAGGGCTGAAATCCATAGCAAATTCTATATTTGCAGAACCCATGGAATACACAGAGTCCAGCCTATAACGGGTTAGATGAGTGTCATCTCCAGAGCTAATAGACCAGGAGGGTTCTAAGATTATGTTACATCTAAGGTTCTACTAGAATAGGATAGCCACTAACTACAGATAGCCTTACCCAAGGAGGAGATATTAGAGTTTGAAGTAACTAGCATGTGATTGTTTCACGATTTTTTAAATTTGTTAGGTTGCCCTGCAATGTTCCCTCTACTTTTTTCCAATACATGTGCAGAATAAACTTTGTTATGTGCACCATGAATAGAAACAAATGCTGATGGCTGCGGAAGCTTTGTTCATCCAGTTGGGTAGACAGTATTTGAATTTATTTTGGGTGGCCACCTAAGCACATAGCTTACTGGGAACACTGATGCCATCTCTCTGTTAACATTTACATAGTGACCCCAAACATTCAGAGCTAGCTTTCACTAAATAAGAAGAGAAAAGGTCAAGTTTGCATGAAGTAGCATGGATTTACTTTAGTGTTTTTAGACGGTGCTTGGAAAGCTAGCTCAAACCCAGCCAAAATATGCAGTACAGTTAGCTATTCTGCACTAGATCCCCAATTCTATGGTGCTTCACTATGAAGTTAATTTGAGTTACAACTAACCATAACTCTAGTCGCATACATATATACATTCCCTTTATTCAAATGTGGTGGTGCTTTTCACTCTAGTTGGCTGATTTATAAGTCACAAGCTCCAGCTGGAGTAAGCACAATTTATCAGCTGCTAATACAATCTCTATAGTGTGTGTGCAGACTAGCTTTACTTGAATGCCACTAGTTTTGCAATAACTTCCCACAATTCTCCTTGTGTGCTCAGAAATGTCAGAAAAATTTTCCCAATTAATTCGGAAACAATTCAGAGTGGCTCATCTTACTGCAGCAGAAAGGATTATGGAATATGGCCCCCGAAGTGCTACAAAAAAAATATGAGTGCAACACCAGCAGAGACAGAGAAACACAAATGTAATTTCACAAAGTGGCCACTCATTTGAGCTATGCTAGAGTTACTGACATTTGATGGCATCAGTTCAATGATACCTTGAGATATCTACCTGACTGACCCAGGCCTATTAAGTATTTACTTTTATCTTTATCAATCCATGAAGTACAATATTTTCTATCATTCTTTTTCTTTGTTAACAGAACGGGAGTGGTATCTTAAACTTCGAGTCATGCTTACCTTTTTGCTTTCCTCCATTTCATGTTCAAACATTGCATTAAAAACTGGTGAACGAGCTGTAGCAAAAGAATTAAACATAAAATACAATTAAAGAGAAGGATTTTAACAGCTTTATTAATAAAATAAAAATGTTAGAATACAAAAGTAAAACGTACCTGCAAGGACAGACTTATGAGCTTTGAATTCTTGTCCTCCTACATAAAAACTGCAATCTGTAAATCTTGTGGTTTCCCAGAGATTCCCTAAATCTTCTGCTAGTCGACATTCAGGTACCTTCAAAGTGTTTGTGTTGGACTGTCCTGATATATTTACTGAATCTTGGACCACACTTACCTAGCAAAAAATTACAGCAAGACAGAAACTCCTTTATAACTGAAGGCCAATAATCATTACATTATAGCACCTACACTAGAATTCTTAAAGTAAGAATGTTTGATGCTTTTGTTTCTCATTTACAACTCTAAACCAGTCAAAATGCAATATTAGGAAGGAATAAAAATTTCAAACAGAGTCTTGGTGTTATGAAACAATACTGGAGCCAAAGAAATGTATCTTTTCAATTATAGAAATAATTAATCATTTAGCTTAGTTACCCTAACCAAGACAAAAATTAAGACCACAATGCCAGAAACAGCATAATAAAAAGGTCAGAGATTAAATCAATGCAGACATTATTCTTTGGAGAGAAATTGAATCTCTAATTAAAATTATTGCTATTTCAGAGACAAAAGGAAAAAAATTAGACCATTCATGCACTTGAGACACAGAGCACATATTAGTAAACCAAAAATGCTTAAAAGTTCTCTCTTTACTGAATACAAATTGATTATGTGAGCACATGATCAGAGTTTCATAAAAGTGATCTTGGGTAGTTCGTATTAGTAAGTTAACTCTGATTAATCAAAATGAATTTGTACATCTTTATTTGAAGGGATGGAGTGAAAGCAAATTAACTAGATACAAGTAAAATACATCCTCTTCACTATTGTTTGCCTTTGCCCTACTGGGGCACAAATCAAATGTAGATATGTTCCTCTTAGAGAGATTAAAATTGGCTCTTCTAAAAAAGTGAGTCTATAGGTGGAGTATAAAGGCACTATGTAAACTCAAGTAGTGAAATGTTTGTTCATAAGATGTGAAATTTGGTTTTAAACTAAATTAAAATAAGATGATTGCGAAACGTGCATCTGACTTTTCTGCATATTTTGTTTGTTTTTTTTGTCTTTGGGAAGGAAAAGAAAGGTGCTAGTGGAGTTCTTCTGATGTGGTTTTGAGGGTTTGTCTACACTACAATTAAAAACCTGCTGCTGACCAGTGGCAGCTGACACTCTTGGACAGGCATGTCCAAAGTCCGGCCCGCGGGCCAATTGCGGCCCATGTTCCGGTTTAATACGGCCCCCGCTTCCTCCCCCTCTCCTGGCTCCCCGGCGCTCTTTTGAACTGGCGCGCCCAGCGCGCTGCTTCCGGCCGCGCCGCCGCCGCCCATGGCCTCCGCGGTCCTAGAGCCTGCCCTGTAGGGCACGTCCGCAGCCCCGCTCCCCCACTCGGCTGCGGGTTCGCCCTGCCCCCGGGCCGCCGTGAGGCCGGCGTGCCCTGCGCTCTCCGCTCGCCTCCGACCCCGCGGGCCCTCCGCCTTGGGGCTGAGAGTGCGGGGACGGACTCCACAGCTGCAGAGATCGGGAAATGTCTCAGTACCTGTGATTGGAGCTGTGCACTGTTAGCTTCCTGGCGGGCTCAGGCACGTGGAGCTGTGAACACGCCCGAGCTCATCCTTAGACTCTTCACCACACACAGCCACAAAGGCAAGAGAATTCTTGTTGGGCAGTGTATTAGTGCAGTGTATTACTTGGGCAGTGTATTACTTAGACCAAAACCTCTGGCACTGCGCTCACATGATCCCTTCCCCTTCTGGTCAATTTCAAAAATGGCGACTGTAAATAAGAGAAGGAAAGTTGACAGTGAGGGCCGCTGCTTCCAGGACAGGTGGAAAGTGGAATATTTCTTCACTGAAATAGAGAATCACTGTGTTTGTCTGATATGCCAAGAGACTGTGGCTGTTTATAAGGAATTTAATGTCAAGAGACACTACCAGTCGAGACATAGCACATACGACAAGCTTACAGGGCACGACCGCAGTGAAAAGTTGAAGCAACTTGAAGCTGTTTTAATGTCACAACAGAAATTTTTCATAAGAGCCCGTGAGTCAAATGAAAATGCCACAAGGGCGAGCTATGAGGTGGCAACGTTAATTGCTAAAAATTGCAAATCTTTTGCTGAGGGTGACTTTATCAAAGAATGCGTTATGAAAATGGTTGAGAATATCTGTCCCGAGAAGAAGCAAGAGTTTGCCAACATTTGCCTGGCTCGTAACACTGTAGCACGGAGAATTGAAGAGATTTCATCAGATATTAAGAGACAGTTGACATCCAAAGGAGTGGATTTTGACTTCTTTTCAATAGCCTGTGATGAAAGCACGGACCTATCTGACACAGCTCAGTTGCTGATTTTTATGAGAGGGGTGGACGATGAAATGAATGTGACTGAAGAGCTACTTGACCTCCAGAGCCTTACGGACCAAACAAGAGGAAAAGATTTATTTGTTTCTGTTAGTTCCGCCATAGATGACATGAAACTGCCTTGGAACAAAGTTACTTGGATTATTACTGATGGGGCACCTGCCATGGTTGGTGAACGAAGTGGATTATCAACCCTAATCTGTAACAAGGTGATCGAAGAAGGAGGCAAAGCTATTAAACTCCATTGTATCATTCATCAACAAGTTCTCTGTGCTAAACATCTCAAATATGATCATGTTATGAAACCGGTGCTAAAGACTATTAATTTTATTCGCTCTAAAGCCCTGTGCCACCGCCAGTTTAAACAGTTTCTACTGGACATCCAGGCTGAATACGAAGATGTTTTATATCACAACGATGTAAGATGGCTCAGTCGGGGGTCTGCACTGCAGCGTTTCTACTCTCTCAGAAAGGAAATCGGAGAATTCTTGGAAACAAAGGGACAACCAATGCGAGAACTATCTGATCCTATTTGGCTGGCTGATTTGGGGTTTCTAGTTGACATAACAAAGCATCTGAATGTACTGAACACGAGTCTTCAGGGGAAAGATGCAGCGGTGAACCAGCTTTATTCACACCTCAAAGCCTTTGGGACAAAGCTGCAACTTTTCATAAGGCAGTTGTCACAAACACAGCCCAATACCATACATTTTTCAGCGTTGCAGGAAATAATGAACAGTTTTCCACAGGACAATATCAGTGCGCAAACGAGCAGGTATGCAGCAGACATTGCATCTCTGGCTGGGGAGTTTAAACGGCGCTTTCAGGACTTTGCAGCTATTGAAAAGGAGATCAGCCTTTTCTCCTCTCCATTCTCTGTTGACCCCGAGGATGCTCCAGATCAGCTGCAGCTCGAGCTCATTGAGCTGCATTGTGACAGCGAGTTACGCAGTCGTCACCAACAGCTCTCTCTTGTGAACTTTTACCGCCAACTGGATAAGAGCCGGTTTCAAGAGATTCGAACATTGGCTAAGAAAATGCTGAGCTTGTTTGGCTCAACATATATGTGTGAGAAGACATTCTCTGCTATGAACTTTAACAAGAACCGCGTGAGGACAAGACTAAGTGACTCTGACCTGCGTGACATTTTGCGCATCAAAACCACTGCCTTTGAACCAGACCTAGCCTATGTGCTGCAGTCCAGATCTCAGTTTCACCCTTCACATTAGTGCAGGCAAGTTTTTTTTTCCAATTGAGATGAATACATTGTAAAATCTTAGTTAATGTCAGTTGGTCTAAATCAGTTATCGGGTAATTTGGCAATATCTATCTTTTATGGCCCCCAATGAATCCATATGTATTGAGATGAATACATTGTAAAATCTCAGTTAAAGTCAGTTGGTCTAAATCAGTTATAAATATATTTGGACACAACATGTATACTTGGTGTTATGTTCCTGTTCATATTTTTTGAACTTAAAAGTTGACAGACAACCTTTATTACCAATAATATGTAATGTACTTTACAATGTTCCTGACGTATATTTCAGCTTCCTGGATTTTTTTTCATCTGGCCTTCAGATATGAAAGGCAGAGTGATTTAACACCTGTTTAGATTTGTCATCCATGTGACGAAATGAAAAGTATGCCGTTTGCAATAAACTTTGCATAAAATAGTTAATTTGCATTTAATTTTAATAGTTCAAAGAATGTCAGGCAAAATGGTCGGCCCTCATGCATGTTCACTTCTTCAAATCTGGCCCTCTTTGAAAAAAGTTTGGACACCCCTGCTCTTGGGGGTCTTCATGCAGTCCAGGCTTTAGGACCCTGCAAGATGAGAGTCCTAGAGCCCAGGCTGAAGCCTGAGCCTCAACACCACCACTGAGTCAGCTGGCACAGAGCAACCACAAGTTTCTAACTGCAGTGGAGACATACCTTGAGAGCCTGCTAACAGACTGAACACCATCTTTTTATTTTGTGGCGATGGGGAAACAAATAGGAAACAGTTCAGCAGTGGGTCTGATTTGGTGACAAATGCTTAGAAATTAAGCTTCCTAAAAGAGAGTAGTGAGCAAAAGCGGTGCTTAGAAACACTGGATGGATGCCAGTCCCCAAGGTCTCCTTGACACCATTTAGGAAGGTAGCAAGTTGGCCACTAATACCAAAAAAAGTTAAGAAAAACAGTTTATAGGATCTTCATCGGTAATTCCTCAAACCAAGCTAAAGGAATTTAGGAGTGGACTAGGTAAGGTGAGAGGTCCTTACTGAGCTCTTGTTTTGGATTTCCAAAGTCATAGAATGTGTGTGACAAGCCCCATGAATGCATCTGAGTTCATCAACTTCATCTGAAAAGTACAAACATCAGATAAGGAAAGGAAGTATGGGCCAATGGTTAAAGCACTTCTTGGGTTCTATGCCCTGTTTCGTAACAGACTTTGGGCAATTCACTGAGGCCTGGGTCTATACTACAAAATTTTGCCAGTTTAGCTAGGACAGGCTACAGTGTGGAAAGGGAATGAACCTCCTTTAATTGATATGGAATGGTAACACAAACCTATAGAGGGACACTTTAACCTATCTGGACACTTAATTAGCTTCATTAACATAGGTCGAACAATTGCTAAGATTGTATATGATTCTGTTACTTCCACCCCAAGTCATCCGATGAAGTGGGTTTTACCCACAAAAGCTCATGATACTATATACATGTGTTAGTCTCTAAGGTGCCATAATATCACTTGTTTTTAAATTTACAGACTAACATGGTTACCCATCTGAGAATTATTAACTGATATGGTTATTCTGCCCACCTTGCTATTCCCATTATAGATGCAACTATACTACCATAAGTGTGTTTTTCCTGACATAGTTAACGTTATTCAGGAGGTGATGTAGGTATGCTAGCAGAACTCCTTCTTCTGGCTTATACTGTAACTGCATAAGGGGGCTCTGTTCATACAGGCATACCAACAAAGGCTCTGAAGTGTATTCAAGACCTGAGTGTGTCCCTATGCTTCAGTTCCCTCTCTGTAAAATGGGGTACAAGAGTACTTTCCTGTCTCACGGGTATGTTGAGATGACAAACATTAAAGATTGTTATTTTGATCATAATATGAGAGTAAGGCCACACAAATACCTAGGTGATATAGATAAATATCCAGAAAAAGTCTACAACACTGGCTTAACTTAACAAGATATTATCTATTTTTTTTCATATCCACAATTTTAACGTTAGACTACACATTTTATTACAATAAGAGATAATGAACTAGCTATTTAAACAGTACATATGACTCTAAAATCTGAGTTTCACAATCTCTGCTCTAGCCATAATAATTAGTGCCAGTTTTTGGATGTCTGTTATAGGCATTTTTCTATGGCTGTTTAAAACAACCCTGAACTATGTTTTTTGCCCCTATAAATCCTTACCACCATGAGTTAATAACACAACAATTAAAAACTTCTCAGGGAACAAATATGCAATTACCACACATTTTCATAGTGAAAATACAGCAAATGGGGCTTTAGTAAAACTTAAAAGACCACAATGGCACCACCAGAAAGTGGAGGGTCACAGCTCATCTGCATGTTAATATGCACACAAATGGTGCAATTCAGTAAAAGTACACAATTCCAAACAGAGTAGGAAGGGGAAATAGTTAAAAGACTACCTTGCTATGCATTCCTTTCTCCCTGTCACTGACAACCACTTCATCCCTACAATCCCCGTCATTTCTTCTGTTAGGAAAAGGGGATGGGAGGATGAGAATGGGAGAAGATAAAGATAAACCTTAGTCCTTTCTTTATGAGTCTATAAGAACAGAAAAAGTTTAAGGCCAGAAGGGATCATTATTATGATAATTTACTGCCCCAGGCCACAGAAGAACTGGGACAACCCCCTCTACAGGCTGCGCCTCTCTCCGCCTCTGCTCCACTCTCATCCCACCTTTTTCTCATGATCTCTGCCAATCTTGTACATGGGAGACCAGAATTGCACACACTGCCATGGCCCCTGGAAGGTAGGGCTCCGCACCCTGGAAGGGGTGGAATCAAGGGCGGAAGGGGGTGAGGGCAAGGACAGTCAGCCCTTAGCACAGCCCGGACTGTGGTATTGGGCCACCTGCAGCCCTTAAAAGTTACGCAGAGAAGAACCCTGGTACTCCTCTTGCAGTTCAAAGGGGCTCAGGGCTACAGCCACCAGACCCCAGGGCAATTGCCCTCTTCGCCCCCACCTGCACACAGTATTCCACATAAGGTGTTCCCAGTGCTTTGTGTAAATGTACTAATACTTCTCTATCTCTACTGGAAATACCTCATCTGATGCATTCTCAGATTACATAAGCCTTCTTTATGACAGCACTGCATTGGCAGCTCATAGCTATCCTGTAGTCAACTAATATCTACAAACATTTCTCCTTTTCTGCCGCTTCAGAGATTGGTGTTGGCTGCACATCTAGCACAGGCTATTTGTTGTGTTTGCATTTTTGTTCTTCCTTCAAGATGGGTGTTAATGAGGCCCCGGATTTGCCTCTTTCATAACAGAACACACAATTAAAATTCTAACTGCCTCAGATTAAAACTATTCAAATTTTTAAATCTATTACTAGATAAAGAAGTACAATACATGTACATTATAATGCAAAAAAGAGCTTAAATGTAAATGAAATTATTAAATTTTTAAAAACATTACTGAAAATGGATTAACAATCACGTTTTTACCCACCCTCCTACTATTCATTGGTGACTCAGCTTGGTAAGCAGCTGCACTCTGCTTGGCTGTTTGAACACTACATTCTTTGCTGCCACTGAAATTATTACCATATCCTGTTGGGTCACAGGAATAACTCTATAGCATATTACAAAAGGAATTATATGTTCACTAACAGACTAAATAAACCACCTCCCGCCTGCACAGAAAGAATTGTGTGAAGTTGTCCCTCCTTTACTATGAGTGCTGGAACTCCATGCAGTGACTTCCTGTGAAATCCATATCTAAATGTATCTACTACTTTGTTTTCAAACTGTACATACAGTAGATTCACATATTAGTATTATCCTTGTTGCCAGCAAAGTTATCATTGTCCAATGGTTTGTTAATAAGCAGCAGGCAGGTTGGTGGGGCTCTATCCATGGAACGAAATGCTGAGAACATGGCTTCTCTGGCTGAAGATCTGTAAAGGGAAATCACGCCTCACCAAAGTCATGCTGACATTTCTCCAACATATTGTTTTTAGCTATGTGTCTGGTAATTCTGTTCTTTTCTATAGTTCCAACTAATTTGCCAGGCACTGAAGTTATGTTTACTGGCCTGTAATTGCCAGGATCACCTCTGGAGAAAAACTGGCATTGCATTAGCTATCCTCCAGTAATTTGGTATAGAGGCTGATTTAAGTGATAGTTTACATACCACACTTAACACTTCCGCAGTATCATGCCTGAGTTCCTTCATAACTCTTGGGTGAACACCTTGTGACTCAGTGACTGCTTAATGTTCCAAAACCTATTCTACTGACTCTTCAATCTATGACAGTTCCTCAGATTTGTCACCTCTCCCTGTGGTGGAAGGAGAGGATAAAAGAGGCAGTAGCAGGAGAGGTGGGCACTGGAACCCTGCAAAGCTGAATATGACTTTTCTTCCTGACAGCTGTGGAGGTAGCAGCAGGGAAGCATGAGGTCCATGGATCCACACAGTATCTTTGGCCCTGTGAGTTGAGTGGAAGGCTTTAGGGAGAGCAAGAGGGGAGAGAAACACGCAGCTCTGCAGACTGCGAGACACAATCGTGACCCTGAGGAAAGCCCTGGTACTTGTGGTGCAGCCTTCCTCCCCAATGCTGCTCTGCTCACAGCCTTCCCAACAGGTCTCCAGAAGAGGATCTCTCATTGAGCAGGGATGAGGACTGCCCAGCCCAATCACCAGGCTCAAGAAGGTTTGTGGGGCTGCAGCCAGGAAAAAAAGTACTAGGATGTACCAAGCACTAGCCCTTCTTTCCTTGACTGCAGCCCCACAAACCTGCCTGTAGCCAGGATCTTCCTGGCTACTTTGTAATTACAGATTTGTAGTTAGCAACAGTCTCCAGGCCTGTGTATAAGTGATGCAAAAACAGGGATTCAGAATTAAAGCTGAAAACAAAAAATTTTTTTTGGTGGGTTCCTTTGTCATAGGACCTTAAAATAGTGTAAAGTCTTTCATGCAGCAGCCTAAAAACTACAAAAGAATAGGGGAGCAAGTGCAGTTTTAGCAGAATTTCAACCTTAATATAGCCTTTGCTTGGTGATAAGCCAGAAGTTATTTTAACACATCTATTGTATACTTCTTAATGTGATGCATCTATCTGCCTTTAGAGGCAGAATATCTACAACACTTAATATTAACCATATTAATATTGATATTTTGAAAATATGGAGAACTTTATTAGGGAAGAAATAAATATGTTTTGAGATTAAATAATATGTTTGAACTTACTGTTAGGAATATAATTTCTTAATAGAACAGATTATCTATATCTATCTATATAAATAAAATTTCATCCTTTAAAATTATATACTGCAAATCATTTTCAAATATAAATGCCATCAGGTAAAATAATTTGATACGAGACAGGATGTAAAAAGAACTCATAAGACTCCTCACATAACCATGAAGTATTTGCTTTTATTAACCAAATAATTGTATTCAGAATATATTCATCATGTAACTAATTTAACTTGTCTGTCTAAGTGAAAATAAGATGCACTATATTTGCACCATCTAGTCTCAGGGGTCACATTTCAATTATTCTTCCAACACAGCATAATGACATATAATTAAGTTGTAATCTTGCCAAGACAATTTTACACATTTCCTGTAAATACGGAAATCAAAGTAAACTTATTAGTGGTTAAAGCATCTATCATCCCCCTAAGCCGCTAATCAGTCCATGACAGCAGCAATAACCTGCCAATGTATATTTAATACCAGATGCACTAAGATCACAACCCTTTTTTAAAAGTTATAAACTATCTTACTGGATTTTAAAAAGACAATTTAGGTTACTGGCATAATTCATTATGATTTAAATTTTATGTAATTGTATATTTATTCATAAGGCTAAAATTAACTCAATGATATACACTAAGTTTTCAGGTATTTATTCTGTTCTGCTTTAACTGCCATATGTGTACAAGAAATATTATATAAATTTAAATGGTCTCTCATGAACAGAAGTTGCTGAAATTAAGACAACTATTCATCAAATAACTGATGTCCATTTTACTTGAGAAACTTTGTTCATTTGCTAAAATACACTAGTCATGAACATAGTACTGTTTCCTTTTGACATATAGCTTGTTTTATAACAATAATCAGGATCCAAAAGTATTCCTGATGTCCCTCAGGAAAGAGAGAGAAAGGGAAAGA